CTTTGACACTCTGTATTTAGCTGCTGTAATTAGTAGTGGTATTATCTGTGTAAGTAGAAGAAATGGCTAATTTTCCTGAAGAGAATTTTTTTTTAGTGGTATTGTACTTCATGCAGCACTATAAGAAATTATTTGCTATTAGAGAAAATAATTATGTAAGTGAGATGAACAAAGATTGGTATTTTTTAAACAACTAAATATTTTATTTAAAAAAAACAGGAGAAAGAGAAAGAATTAGAAAGAGAAAGAGAAAGAGACAAAAAGGATAAAGAAAAATTGGAATCGCGATCGAAAGATAAGAAGGAAAAAGATGAGTGTACTCCAACAAGGAAAGAAAGGTATGACAATTCTTATATTTAATCATTCATAGATTTTTTTTTAAGATTTGGAATGATGGTTTATTTTACAAATTTTTTTGTCAACATATTTGATGTCAAATAACTTTCTGAGAAGAAGCATGTTTGTCTCCATACAGGAGACAGAATGAGCTGACGTGTGGGGCAGTTAGTACTTGGTTTAACTGGGGCCTGTTCCCTTTACATGGTTCGTAGAATGTCCTTAGCCTTAGTTCAATGTAGAATTCAGTTACAGGATTAAGTGTCAAACCTGAGACTTAAATAACAGAACAGCTTGCTAGGCCTTCTCTGTTGCCTCCCTCCATAGAAGTTTTTCCAGTCTAGGTGCTGAGGCTGCCTACCTGTATACTTGAGTCCTTCAGTTGTGTCTTAAAAAGAGATTATGTACATAGGCCACAGGGACTTGGTCCTCATATTTTTTTATTCTTTTTTAGCTTTTATTTATTTCCTAAATCCTTGCTTTAGTAAAGAAAATTGCTCAGTTAACAGAACTGAAGTTTTTCTAATAAGAACCAAGTGATTGCAAATGAAAAGATTCTGGTTTGTAGGTAATACCGAAGAAGTTACTCTAATTGGTTAAATAAAAATAAACAATTTCAGATTTACAAGAAAAACGACAAGAATTGTGTAAAGAGTTCTGGATACCCTGGATACCCTTTACCTACAGTCTCTGAATGTTAGAGGATTTCTGCTTTTTTCTTCTTTTCTCTCTGCCTCTCTCCAACCTTTTTTTTTTTTTTTTTTCTCCTCAGAAAAGATGTTTGTTTATTTTTTTTTTACTTGTGTCTTTTTTTTTTTTCCTGCTTATTTATTTTAAAAGGGAGAGACAGAACTTCCATCTGCTGGTTGATTTTGCAAATGCTTGTGATGAGGCCAGGAGCACACTTCAGGTCTTCCACATGATGGCAGGAACCGTTACTGAAGCCCATTCCACTGCCTCCTAGGGGATGCAGGCGGCAGCTGGGTATAGGCTCTGAGGATCTTAACTGTGAGGCCAAATACCCATTGCCACCTGCCCTTCATAGGCTCTGGGGATCTTAACTGCGAGGCCAAATACCCATTGCCACCTGCCCTTCACCCCAGTCATTTAATATGATATCCCACTCTCATGTACACTTTTAATCACAATGAAACTACCAGACAGGAAAGTAACATTAAAAATATTACCCAGTTTGGAGATCTTAGTTGAATTTTATTAATTGTCCCAACAATCTCAGTTATAGGAAAGATTCCACTGTAGTTGAATTCAGTTATCTCTCAATTTTCAGTTATGTTTAACATTTTTACTGGGATAAAAGACTTTGAATGTTGTTGGAAAATACTTTATTATGATTAGTAAGAGTAAAAGTTACTGAAGACAGGCAGAAAATAATAGGCAATTTAAACAAAGGAAAATGAATACGGGTTCCTTGGCTCACTTTGGGGGCTTTGTTCCATAGGAAAAGACGACACAGTGCATCCCCCAGCCCGACTCGCAGTAGCAGTGGTAGACGAGTGAAATCCCCATCACCCAAATCGGAGCGATCAGAGAGATCTCACAAAGAAAGCTCACGTTCCAGGTCATCTCACAAAGATTCTCCTAGAGATGTTAGCAAAAAAGCCAAAAGGTAAATGCAAGTCATTTTTTGGTGATATTTTAAATACCTTGTCATTCTACCAGCTTTTGAAAATAATTTAATTGGCAGGCATTTTTTAAAAAGCATTTTAGAAAAGCAAAGATATTATACTTTCATTTGAAGTTATTACTTCCCACCCCCCGTCTGTCTTTATGACTTAATTATAAAAAGGGTTTCCAGTCAGTAAAAACTAGCCAAGAATTGTAAATAGCAGCAGCAGTGCTTTCTAGTAGATTCACGGGAGCTACTTTATACTTTTCATTCTGGTTTTTGCTTTTTGTTCTGTTTTGTTTTGTTTCTGTTAGGAGAGTCTCTGGTTATTCCAAAACTGAAGGGAGTATGTGTTTTTCTCTAAAGCAGCAGTGCTAGGAGTTCTTGGGTAGAGACAAAAAATAATACTACAGATAAAATTCTCTCTTCTTTCTAATTTCAAAGAAGTGGTTCAGAAGTGTTTTAATGTTTTTATTTTTCTGGTGGTATGTACAGAGATTTTCCTGAGAGTGAAGACAGTTGTATATTTTAGCACTTTATTTTGGGGGACCATTTTTAGTAAAATAATTTAAAAATTAACCTTTTCTAAAATGGCATTTGTGTGTGTGTGTGCACGTGCACGTGTGCATACCTGTATATAGTCATTTATTTATTTTGGTTACCTTTATGAAAAGTACTCCCAAAATATTTAACAATGTCCTTGAATGATATTGCAGTGGTTGATGCCTTTTCCTTCAAGGTAGCAGGCTGCAGAACTATGGTAATTTTACTTTTTGTAAGTGATCTCCCTTGCTATCTTGAACTTTAGCTTCTGGAGTAGAGGTTCAAATAGTGGCGCTATTGGTCACTAGGGAGCTGGTTCAGATGTCTCCGTCTCTGGCCCTAGAGATGTTGATGAAGTCGAGCAGGGGTGAGGCTCAGAAATTTATTCTCAACCAGCTTCTGTAGTGATGTTCGCTGATGCGTTGTATAGTAATTACCAAATAATTTCTGCCCTTCTACTCAGTAGGCAAAATGTAATTTTGAGAAATTTGATCTTATTTCAGAAAATTGGTCTTACTTTATTGTACTGTGTTAAAGATCATTTTAGGTAATTTAAGGAAAATTAGTTTTTATCACATGAATACTTTAATAAATTGGGGTTTTTGCTTATTTCTTCAGGTCGCCATCTGGTTCCAGGACACCTAAACGGTCTAGGCGATCACGGTCTAGATCCCCCAAAAAATCAGGGAAGAAATCCAGATCTCAGTCCCGGTCTCCACACAGGTCTCATAAAAAGTCCAAGAAAAACAAACACTGACAAAGTTTTTAAGATGCTGTCACTATTGGAAATGCGATTTTGTTTTGTGCCTGAATGGTCTGGTTTTTTTAAAAAAAAAAAAAAAACCTACAAAAAAAGTCAAGTGGAAGAGCATTCCTGGGGTTTTTGTTTGTGAATGCATGTGTAAACTCATGAGTAACGCATCTGTAGACATGTCATTGTTTTTTATTGTATAAATTACTTTCATTGTGGCTGTTTCTCAAGATGAAATTTTTATTGTGCTAAGAAGTTTCATCAGAAATGTGTATAATGGGTCTGCCGGCAGTAGTAGTATTTTGTTCTAGGATGTTGTGACTTAGCAGAAATAATACAGATGTCTTCCCCCCTTTTGTAGCTTTGACAATTTGAATTAGATTTCAAATAAAATCTGAACAGAAAACTGTAATGTTGTTTTTTTGCCCCACTGGTGATACCAAGTCCCTTGACGTCCCGCCTAGTGAGTTTGGCACTACTGTTGTGTTTCTTCTATCTGATGCACTTTACAAGCTCCAGTGTTCAAATAGCTCGAGTTTTATATTTACTAAGATGACTGTTGAAATCAAGGGACCCAAAACCCTGTTTGTTAGATTCGCTAATCAGTTTCTTCAGCAGTGGTCTCCTGGATGGTACTCACTCCAGAGATCGAGGCCTGGGTCCACAGGGCGTGGTGGTGGAAATGGATTCCTTTTTCAAAGAAACAACATGATTGTGTCCTGAGGAACTACTTATTTTTAAGTGAAAATTAAGTCTTCATCTATGATTTCTTCTATCATGAAAGAAGTATACTTATAAAAGAAACTTTGTAACAAGATTTGGCCATGGAATTCTTTTGTATGATACCTTTTTATAGTCTTCTGTGGGCTACCTTTCAACACTGGTATTAGAATATTTCTAAAAGTTTATAAAGTTTAAAACATCTTAGGTTTTACTTGTTTTGTATTTTAAGGATTTAGTTTTAGGTATAGCTTTAAGTAAAATGTGAAAATAAAATGTTTTTCAGGATATTTAACACCCAGTAGTTTATAAATTGAAGGTGCAAAAAGGTGATGTATATCATTTGCAGAGTTGAACTCTGTTGTGAATGAGAATACAATTGCAGTGTGAAGAATAAATAAGAAAACTTGTATAATGTTGATCATAGTATTTCCATAAACAGAATGTAATAAAGGGTTATATAGAGTTGAACTAACACTAGTATTTGTGAATCTTGCTTTCAGTTTTTCATTGAGGCAGTTTATACAGTGCTTTGAACTGTCCCTTTCTCTCCCATAAAGCAAGTAGACACTACCCCAATGATGAATTGTTTAACTTTTTAATATCTTTTCAGCTTGTTTTACTTAATCTTCCCTAGTCACAATGTAAGATATTTGGAGAGTGGCTGTAGAGTCTGAGTAGTGAGACAGGCTGTTCCCAACTGCATGAATCCACCACAGCTTGGGAAGTGAACCGTTCAGATCATCGGTCCTGAAAGTTGGTCAGGACAATGAAATGTAAATATGTGGTACAGATATTTAAAAACCTATAAATATAGCCATTTTGAAATAATATGTTTTTCTCTCCTGTTCATTGCCTGGGAGAATGGAATTTTATATAATATGCCTTTCTTTGCAAAAATAACAATAGTGTTTTGAGTTTTTGCCATTCTGTCATTTGCTGATATCTTTATAGACTTTGAAATAATGGTAATGGTCCAACTAAGCTGTAAGGGATGCTTATTTCTCGTTAAAAAAAATCCCAGTACTTAGCTGGCAGGGGAGAGGCCCTGATTGTGAAGGTGGCTTTCCCAGGGCGAGGTTCATCCATTGCACTCCTATGTGCTGACCCCTGCGCTTGCTCCAGATGTGGGCAGCTGCACACCCTGTGGCAGTGAGGAGCTGTGTTCGCACTCCCCCCTGGGAGGGGTGGGGCCAAAAAATTGGAAAAGCATGAGTGAGTAGAAAACAGTTTTGAATGCTTAATTTGTCCTATTTCTCACCCAATTTAGCAGTTCTATACTGGATCCAGATTCAGCTATCACAGCTTTTTAGCAGTGGAAAAAACTGGCTCCCTTTTGAAGTGATTAGGAATAGTTTACATCTACGAATATGCTCTTAAGCTTGGGAATGTTCATATTAGATTGGCTTGAGTTTTTTTTTTTTTCTTTTAATTACAAACAGTTAATTATTGTTAAATAGATAATTTCCATTTTACTCTGAGAAATTCCGTTGAGTAAGACTTCAGTTTTCTACATGGACTGTGAGAATTTGGGACCAGTTGGATAAGGGAGAAGAAGCAACAATCTGAAGACTACTCCCATGCCTTTAGTTACAGGGAAGATCTGTACGGAAGAGGAAATGGTGGTGTCTGCCTTCTGGCCTAACTTGTGTAGACTGGGCTTCTTTACCAGGTCAATGTCATCTAACTCCCCCTCTTACACACAGGGGAGCAGGTGAAGTGCTGGTCTGCTTAAGAGAGATCCTGCCTATGAACTTGTTTTCCTGGCCTTGTATTTTCCTTGTTGCTACTAAGCAATTGGCAGTTTCTGAATTGTAACATGTTGAGAAGTTACGGATTAAGTAACTAACTGCAACAAGCCCTGATCGGAAAACTTTTATTTGGCTCAGAATGTTAGTGGCTTTTTAGCTAAAGTTTGCAGAAATTGGCTTTACCTTGAATTAATTTTGCTTTGTTGCAGGCCATTCATTGCTGTGGGTTTTACCATAGGACTTTTATCCTTTAGTTAGGATCTTGGAGGAAATCAATCTGATTCTGACTACATATGTGTCACCCCCAAATTTAATATTCTTGAGCACTTGAAAATGCTTTAAAGAGATTTTGATCAACATTAAATGTAGATTTATTGGAAATAGTCTGTATGTACACAGGTTCCTCCATAGTACTAGAAATTCTGGAAGATTACGTAGCCATGATAATGCTTTATTGTGACTAAAAATAAAGTCCAGTCAACCTCCATATCGCCAAAGTAATTTAAACTGTTCTGATGACCACAGCAGTGTGATTTTTGCCACAAAAAAGTTATTTATAAAGATACATAGTAACACTAAGAAAAGTGTTACTTCAAAAAATAAGTTTCTTTGTGTCCCCCTTTATTACATTTTAGAGGTAAAGCATTGTAGGTAGTTCAGCCCAATATCAGTGAAGGCACTGGTGTGGTGAAAGGACCATGAAGACATTCACAGAGTGCTGGGCTCTTTGTATTTCACATGCACGCTTTAGAATAGATTTTAGGGAGTGTTGAACACGTTCGAAGGACTTAGTTTAACACACAAACTCCCTGAGGAAGGAGCTGTTAAGTGAGGCTGCCAGTGGGGAAGGAGCTGCCGTTCCCAGGGGGCCGCAGTGTGTATTCAGCACCACCTCAGGGAGCTCTGATGTAAATGGGTTGTATGTATAGTTGGCAATTTGTATGGTTTTGTAGCTCTATAGATAAAATGCCCTCCTGCGTTTTCACCTGTAATTGTGCTTAAGATGTTTTGTTTTGCCTTTTTACTTCAGGCTCTGGTATGTTGTATTGCTATTGATTTGCAATACTAGGAAAATATTTTTTCAGAAGTGAGGATGCTGTAATTGACATCAGCTCAAGTGAAATACTGTGTGACGAGGTGGTTGCTTGGAGTGAACTGATGGCCTAATCAAGTGACTCCTGATGGAGGAGTCAGTCTGTGGAGCTGCTTTCCTGTCAGACTGATGCTTTATATGGTTTTTCTACATAAAGATTATACAGTTCCAAACAAAGGTTGTGAAATTTTCCTTTTGCTGTTTTTTGGTTTTTAATTACTTTAATAAAAGTGTTTTTTCATAGCAAACCTAGGCTGTTCCCTGTAATTTTCTCCATATAATTTTTCTGTCACAAGCCCACAGTAGATCAGTTTCCATCATGAAATAAATGATGTGCCACATGTATCAGTAGTAGCAAAATGTTACATTTTGTATGTTGAAATGTTAAAATCAAATATTTTTATAATAGAAGATTCTCTTGATAAGGAAATTTCATTTCCTTACTGATTGCCCTTTAAAACATTGTTTCATTGAGGAAAATTTCAAACATGGAAAAGTACAGTGAGATGAACTTAGTCTTGAAAGGCAGTTAGGGAAAGGTGGACATCTGTACTGCTTCAGTCCCCAGATGGCCACAGTCACCAGTGCTTGCTGTGGAGGCACCAGTGCTGGGCTGTGGAAGCCAGGAGCTCCTGGGGTCTCGGGTTGTGTGCAGGGCCCAGGCACTTGTACCATCTTGTGTTGCTTTCCCAGGCACATAAGCAGGGAGCAGGAGTGGAAGTGGAGCAGCTCATGTACCAGCCTGGTCATTTTTATGTGCACAGTTGAGTGATATTCAGCCGATCTTCACATTTTCATCTTAAAAAATTGAAAGTGTCTGCTGAAAACAACTGTTTTGGCCAGCCTCGCATGGCGCTGTGGCCATTGGTATTGGGTTGGCTACTGGGTACCTCGGATACATGGATGTGAAGTCACAGTGTGTGTCTCTGAGGGCTTCGTCTGCATTGGCTCCTTTGGAAAGCACACCTTCTTTGAAGTTTGTACTTCATGAAATTTGAAAAGGATTTCCTCCAACTGGCTCATTAGCATTTCTAAGTTTCTTTTTTTTACAACTTGTGTGCTTCTGTGTCTCTTTAGTGATTCGTATTATGCAACTTCACATCAGCGCTTCATGGTGGGAAGTATAAAATGCACTTTAATTTTAAATGTGATGTAATATTGCATAGTGGTGAAGGAAAGGGGAAAACCTAGGCTACGGAGTTGAGATGTAAACACCAGTATAATCTTTCAGAATCTCACCTATGAAATGGGCCTGGTAACCTAGAGTGGTCACAAGTGGGTCATTGACATGTCATTTTAAATGAAATTATTTCTGGAAGCTAATAGGAACATCTTATAACTAAATCAATACTAACACCACAATTCTACAGCAATGCTGCCCACACAGTGTATTCAGATAACATTTTATCAATATATACTTTGTAGATTAATTGGCATATTTGCTGCATATTGGGTCCCACTTCACCCTCTGTTCTAGTCTTAGATGATGCCTAATCCTTAATCTTACAAGAAAAATCAGATTAAAAGTACATTTTGTGTTTTTCATAATTGTAAAATTGAGCTAACCAAGGTTTCTGGAAGGAGGAATCCTGTGATGGGAAAATGTAAACAGCTGAGACATGGTAGATGTGGGAAAACCTGGAGAACAGTGTGAAGTATGGGAAACACTGAGTTCTTCATCCAAGTTCAAAGGAAAAGGCTGAGCAAATGACCAGAGCACAGCAGGAGAACAGGTCTCACAGAGTGGGCAGAGAACGACTTCCTGAAAGGAAACAGAGCACTAAGTGATATGAGTGTGACTGGGCTTGGGTTGTGTGTGTCAGATTATGTAGCAGTAAGAAATGGATCGCTAAGGGCGCTGCTCGACCGAAGATCTGAAACTAGAGAATTTGAGAAGGAACTTGCATTGTAAACTTTTCCAAACCAATAACCCGGAGTGGTGTCATCAGGACATTAGTAAAGCACTCGAGTCCTCACAGCTGCGCAGGCATGAAGCTGAAGGGTCAAAGTTTGATTAAAAACACTCTCCTCCAGAGAGCTGAGCTGCTGAATTTGACAAGAATAAGCACCTCGGTGTGGCTTGGCTACCTTAGCTGATTCTCCTCTTACATGAAGTGGCAATTCAGATGATTTTCTTAATTCAGCATATTTTGGTTCTTTGTGCTGTGCAATAGATACTGGGTGTGAGCAGTTGATTGAGAGCATTGAGGAACATTTTGGATGACTCTTGGCCATGCTGACGTATTCGTTAATTAAGAGTATGTCATCACTTCTGGGAAAGTAAACAGTCTGGCTTTAATATAGGCCTCTCTCATAGGGTGTAGCAAGGCATCAGAAGCCAAAAAAAAGTAAGTTGGTATTTTATTTTTTAAGGATTTATTTTCATCTGAAAGGCAAATTTACAGAGAAAGGGAGACAGCAAGACATCTTCCTCTGGTTCACTTCCCAAATGGCCGCAACACTGGAGCTCTTCCGGTTCTACAGGAGTGCAGGGTACCAAGGCCTTGGACCATCTGCGGCTTTCCTGGGCGATAAACAGAGCTGGCTCAGCAGTGGAGAAGCCAAGACACAAACAGACACACATAGGGGTTGCTGCTGCTGCAGGCGGGACATTAGCTCACTATGTCCTTGTGCTAGCCCCTATCTTTCTTTATCAATAACATTTACCTGTTGTGAACTTAAACTTACAAAGTCACATTCCCAGGATATTTTTTTCTCTTCTGCTGATAGATGCTTATTTTAAGAGTGGGTTCTCCCCAGAAATGTGTGCACAAACTGTAGGACTGTGAGTCCCGTGAAGACTGTGTGTGTTCGGACTCCGGCCTTCTCCTGGCCCAGGAGCACCTAAAGCCTCCCTCGTGGGTGAGTACCCGCGGGGGATGGCTGGGGGCTGGGGATAAATTCCTAGCTCTCCCCTGCCCCCGCCAGCCGAAAGCTGGCGGCAGGACAGGTTGGGTGGGTCCCAGTCTCAGGACAAGGGGCAGGCTTAACCCCCCATCAAGGTGGCACTTGTCGGGGGTGCCCCTGCCGGACGGAACCCCGCCGGGGTCTCGGACCCAGTCCCCGCCACAAGGCAGGGACAGAGATCCCGGCCTTGGGCAGCCAGTGCACCATGTGGTGCCAGGCTCTTCCTGCTGGCCGCCCAGTGGCGAGCTCTGGGGTTTTTGATGATATGAAATAGCTGCTTTGGGACACCCATAAGTAAGACCAGCGTTAGCGTAGGTGAGACACTAATTTCTGGAGATTCCCAGGAACCGGGACATGAAACCTTAATGCAAGTGTGGGACTGAGACCTGAATGTTCGGACTAAGCAAACCTTAGTCCACAAACAGGATTG